TATTTAATCTAGCAATTTTGGGCAAAATGCACTGTTTTGAGTTATAATTGACACAGTTTTGATTTCCAATCTCTTTCAATCTTTGTTTTAATGATTCCTTCCACTGTATGTACATCATTATCAGAACATCACTTATTTTGCCAGTTATCACAGCGTCATCAAAGAGCAAGCATTCCTGTGAATGATGTTGGAATCAAGCCATCTTTTAAAGTRCATGAAGATGAAGAAGGGATTGTTAACCCACCATGCACACCCCAACATCTMAATATGATAGATCACGTTTTGAGCTCAAGAAAACCAGGCAAAGACGCAACCAATGTGCTACTTGCAAGTATGACAAAGGTACAAAATGCAACAGGCTAGTAATAGTCAAAATCATCTCTTTACAAGGTATCTTTTTTTAGATAAATAAAAGTGATGACAAGTTCAAGGTCATGTATTGTAAAGACAAGATCTATGCTGGAGCTAAAGAGTTTTCCTTTGAGCAACTTAGAGCTGCTAGGATGCWAGCTAGACTTGCTGGAGCCCCGTGGTCTTCTCTATACCCTACGCAAAAAGAKMCAAATGTGCAGTTCAAGGTGATGTACMCAAAGCATGAGGTTTATCCATTTGATTCTGGAGAGCAGCCTTATGACAAGATTCTTTTAAAGCGATACTATGCCAGAAAAGAAAGGCAAATTGTTGAGGCAGTCAATCAAGCTTCAGTAAGTATGAAGAATACACTCTATGTCAACTATAGCCAACTGTATATTTACTGTAATTGATTTAGAAAAAGAGAGGAGAGAGAAAGTATAATGTTATTATAATTATTTATTTTTATTATATTTTTTTTTTTCTGTCTTTTTATCTTAGTTTACATTTATCTATTTTTATTTTTTGAAACTATAAATTTATACTTTTTTATAATTTATAAATTATGAGATCAGAGAAGATATTGCAAATTAGGTACGTATGAGTTAACGGAATCAAAGACACATGACGTGGGTAGCGACTATAAGTTTCATGTTGTTACACAATAATCAGGCTACAATGAACTTGATAATTTGACTTATCAAATTAGGTATATATTTTGAGTATATGCAAAATATTATTGTAAAAAAATTTTTATTAGGAAAGTTTCAATAGTGGAAAAGCTTTGTTTAATTATTACTGTTATTGCTATTATTATTTTTAAATAGGTTTATGATGATAGAAATTATTATTATTGTTAAAATAATTATAAAAAATATTATTAATTATATAATTATTATAAATTGTAAGACATATTAGCTTGATTAAGAGACAATGAGACAATGAGGCAAATCTTGATTTAAAACAGAAGTTTGTAGAAACATTTGCACATTTTCAATTGCATAACATATCTAATGAAGTGTTCTGAATAGTTTTCAGATTGCCCTCAAGAAGTCCAATCTTTAAATGCTGATAAAACAATAGAAAAGATGGATACTGGTAGTTGCCATGAGATTTTACAACATTCTCAGCCTGCATTCCAAGTATACAACAAAAACCATGATGACATATGGTAAATATACAGTAATGTAAAAAGATAAATTTAACACCCGTAAAAAAAGTATGTGGAAAAACTTACTGACGTTTCGGATGTTAATCCTTCGTCGGAGTAAATATACACCCAGCTGAATCCTGGGGAGGGAGGACAACCATGATGACAAATGTCATTTACAGCTAAATTCTGGGGAGGATAACATCAATTAACTTGTGAGGCATAGAAAGATCATCAGCTGCACTAGAAATGCTTAATTATAGTAATTAACAATGAGCATATAGTAATTAACAATGACTAGCGGTGGTTTATCTTGTTTTGATTTTCTTTCTTCAATGTATGTTTTCTAGTGACAACCAGCCTGCCAGGAGAGAGCTTTCTTTCCAATG